TGGTGTTTTGGTTGAGGTTTGTTTATGGCTCCTCAGACCGCTGTGTATTGCTATCCTGCAGTCAATACTTAAGTTGGTATAACTAGAGAAGCAAGCGGTCTGCAACATTAATCTCTCTCAGGGTGTCTAACTCTGTGTTATGGTGTGTTTGACTCTCAATTAAATTTAACCTGGAATGTCCCTTTAAGCCTGGCATGATCAGAGTGCAAAACGACCGTATACTGTCGTCATCCTTGCACTTTCATGTGGTTTGATACGCTTTTATGCTTGCATTTGTCAAATATAAGTAAAACGTGGTATAAATGTGCCGATGCAGAATGAAAAAAAAAAAACTCTCTCAGGTCATTAAAAAGAGCTTGGTGAGCTATCCAGCCTTTCACCTTCTATACATAATAATATGATTCAACTGGGCCTTACATAACTGCATATATCAGGGTTATGAGCGGTAATACTCCAAAGGCTCAATTACAGCCCAAACCGACTGAGTTAAACTAATCAGAATGTGTAATTTTCCTCTGTTCTGCACTTTAATTGCACTAATTTTACATCGGTATTACCAGAACCGTGCTCATACATGTGTGTTGATGTATGTGTGCAGCCCTCTTTATTTGTCTCAGTTGCACTTCCTTGCGTTCGTAGCTCTTCGTCTCAGTTCTGGAGAGCCATACAGCTGTGGTAATTGCCACCGGAGCGATTGCTCCTCATTAGATGCTATGGAAGCTGTAATTGGCCATCCCAGGCACAGCGATCAATGCCACTGTTATTACCGAGATCCCAGGCACCCGGGCCGCAGACAGCAGGCCCAGCAGAGGCCAGAGGGGAACCGGCGGGGGGAAGAGGTGAGCCTCAACAGCTTGTTATGGCTGCACAGAGACTGGACTACTGCTTGTCTAGGTGTCTATCGACAGCTCGCCATCCAACATGCATCTGCTCCCTCCATCTAGCTCATTGACACTTTACCTCCACAGAATCTGTCTTTCAGCCTTATCCCATCTCTCACCCTGTCTCATTAATGGTACTGCTTTTCTGCTGTTTCTTGTGCTGCCATACTCGACCTGTCAGAGGGTTATACTGTGTCCAATCTGTAAAAGGAGACCGAGTGTAACAACCAGAACTTTGAGAGCATTTTGCTGCTTTTCAACAGTAAACCTGTGCCATTTCTGCAGGTCTTCAGTCAATATATTCCCATATTCCCTGTCAATACATAAAGCTACAGTGTGTGATGCTGAAATGACACACAGATATCTTAATAATGATATTTGAAGTAATCACTCCATGCACATGCATAGATTCGCCTTTCAATGCAAAGGGAGGTTCCCACTTTTGCAGCTGCAATAAGAAACAACATTTTTACCAAGGGTTTGTTGTCTGCCTTTATCCTTTATTTTACTTTCTTAGATGCCCCCATGAATAGTTTAACAAATAATGAGCTAAAAATGTGCGCAAACAAGTGGGAAACAAAGTTCGGATCAAAATACAGACAAGACAGGCGTAGCAATCTGATGTCTGAGATGGCTTGTTGAAAAGTTTTTGCAGATAATGATGTTACAGTGTGTGCAGCACAGCTGGAACAGAGGCAGGATCCAGTTATAAAGAGCCAACTTGGAGATAATGTAGGTTTAGATTATGTAGAAAGCCTTTTTTTGTAGTTTTGTAGATGATCATTTCATGGTGATAGCGGGGCAGTTTTAATAGAGGGTAGGACCCCAGTGCAGGAAATAGGCAGAGGAATAGTTTGAAAGATAAACGGCAGATCCCAATTGCTCCCCTTAGCTCGCAGTTTTGCGTGTTCATGTCAAGCCAAGGGGTGTCCTAATTGAAATTTTTGTAATGTTTTTGTAAATGTAATGACATTTCCAGCTTTTCTTGCCAGTCAGAGGCGAAGGAGGCGGGACTTTCCCCTACCATTCTACAAAAAAATAGATTGCGTCCCAGTTCTCCGTAAGGTTAAGGGGAAGAGCTAAGGGAAAGGAGTACACACCCCTTAAAATGACCATAAACTGGGACCTCACTTGAAAGCAAGGGGTAAGATTTTGATATGATTTAGTAGTAGTAGTAATGACACTTAATGACATGTAAATATTGCTATGTTTTGAATGGTTCGTGTTTTAAAATCGCGTGTTATGATGAGCTAGCTAACGGAGCTATAGCTAATGATAGCTACACTGATGTCAGACTGCTATTGCTAGCAACAGCTAACAACGGCTCAACGTTACACCCGTAGGTTGTTTTCCAACTTGTTTACCGGTATTGTCGCATCAGCCTACGACATAGCCAGCAAGCGGCCAGGCATGATAGCGTAGCGGGAATCGGGTGGTGTCCTGTTTCTTAGGAGCGTGTTTTCAAAACAGATGGCCGAGGGGAAGAGGTAGACAAAAGGGTAAGAGGAAGGAGAAGGGGTAAGAATTACGATTGGGATTGGCCTTAAGAGTGTAAACTGGAAAGTGTTAGTTCAGGCAGGATACGAAGTCAAGTTCACCCCATAGTATTCCAGCTGATCCTCATGCCACCCCATATCAGCTGACAGCCCAGCAGATTACCTTTTAATTGGTTCATGTCTGCATACTCTTGCTCTGCAACACGCCTCCACCCCAGCAATCCCTTTCAAGCTGTGTCTGATTTTACCAGTGTCGTGTGTATCCTGTCCCTGTATTGACTTTCCATGAATTCATACAGAGGGGCAGGCAGCTCTCAGGGCAGATCCAGATCGCCAAATCAAACTCATTGCATGCAGATAATGAGTAAGATGAGGGTTTTAGGGGTTGTGCAGGAGAGCAGAAACCAAAGATAACCTGTGGTTTGTTGTCAAAATAAATCAAGCCCAACAAGCTTGAAAATCAACAAGCTGAGGGACAGCAAGAAAAAGAAAAATCTAGTTGATTTGATGTGGATTAAGTCAAGAATTTCAAACTTTTTGTTCCTAAGATGTACAGACAATAAGACACTTTCGAGAAGTATGTAAGTGTTAAAAGCCTAACCTTAGTTATTAATTTAAGACAAGCTGTTGACAGAAGAATGAGAAGAATAAGAGAAAAGACTGGTGCCCATTAGTCTCACATTGAATGTTTTATCATGGTGGATCATTAGAGGGTATGTACTGAGTTAATTATGCAAATTGAAGCCGAGACAACCTCATGACAATATATATTTTTTTTTATTGAACTTACTCAGACCCAACTGAGGCTTTCAGAAGTATTATTCATCACGCCCTTGATAATCCTGCATAGAAAGGTGAGAGCTTTACAGAAGAGTTTTACTTTCTCAGAGTTGAAGACCCCATTATCACTCTTTATTTTTTTTTACCCATTACCAGGACTGCATAAAAGCTGTCTTCCAGGCAGACATATTGTTGCCAATGTAGTCTCTCTTACCTCTTTTAGCGTCTGCTTTGTGGATAAATTTATCTCACCATTAGGTGACAATTTTTCTCCTTCATAAAGGACACTATACCGGGAGGCATACATTTCCTCTCTGATGCAATAAAGCTTTATGAACTGAACGTTATTTATATGTCTATGCCACATGATGGAGGTGCTGAGTCACATAGGGTTTCTGTATTGTACTGATAAAACTCAATGTCCTAATAACACCTTCAAAAACATGTATTTTAAATCTCACTTTTTATGCATCGTACATCAAGTCTGTCTGCGTGAAATCTTTTCAGGAAGTGGTCTGATCTTTTTCCAAGTAAAAATATCAGTTCATTAATGTCTTGATGAAGCCCCACATTTAAAATCCAGTATGTCACAGTGGCAGTAACAGATAATGCACTCTACTGAAGTCAACAAGTTATGTGAGGACAGGATTAAAACTGGCCTCCAAAAACACAAGAGCAGGATTTGGATCCTTCTCCTAAACCCAGGATGCCTTCATTGTTGCACCATAACCCTAACTCTGGCAATGTTAGCAAGGCAGTACCATGTGATAAGAACTTAAAGGTACATTCAGGCTTGATCAAATTAAAGATTGTACTCCTTTAAGTTTACAGATAGGATGTGTTTTATTATTCAAATGCACGTCCTGCCATAACATATCCCATGGATGACAGCGCAAAGGTGTTTGTTTTTTAAACGTTTCTATACCTCCATAAAGTTAGCGTAGTCAGAGTACTTCCTGTTCCTCTTATCAGCCATTGTAATGGAGATTTCATGTAACTGCACTTGCTCAATTTCAACCCTGTTTGATCACTAAACCAAACGAATATTTATGCTAATTGTTAATCATACAGATTACAGAAATAATAAACTGTTAACAGATTAACAAGCATTACTACATGACCCCTAAAAAAATTGATGACAAAAAAAATCAAATTAAATCAAATTCAATATTTCCAACAGTTGTTGTGAAACTAAGAATTATAATTTTTTTTCAAGCATGAATTTTCTAAAAAGTCACTGATACTTTAAAAAATAAAGAAAGAAAATAACCAATTTTTTTTTTAAAGCTCCTGTGAGGAACTTTTGGTATGTTTGAATTTGGCGCCCCCTGTGGACAGAGCAGTCTTTGCTTATCTTGTCAGCCACATGCTTGTGTGATGATTCACACCAACCAAACTCATTCTTTTGACAGTCGGACATATCATTTCAAATGTTTATTCAATCTGGACACTGTAAAAGCAGGCTGTTTATTTCGTTGCAAGGCTTGGACGCTCTCGCACTATTTCTTCTGACTGTTAAAATCAAGATATAAAAATCTTTAGTCATGTTTGCTTTTAAATTGCACATTGTAGGCTTTCAAATGAGCTCCAATAGATCACCTTTCTTACTTTCCACTCAGAGCTTCAGTAATATCTACTCCAGCTCGATATTGTGGAAACAAGGCAGAATTTCCTCAGTGAGCACTAGCCGGGGAAATACTCACTCATTGACTTCTCTCCATTGAATCCATTCTGATTGCACAAAGTGAAGTCAATGATGTACAGTGGCCTCTGATGATATGAACGCTCTGCAGCATCTCATGTAATTAATGGCATCACTCCATGGTGGGGCGGCTCGTGATCAATGTGCATGAAAGCTGTAATCACCGGCATCGCTCCAACAGACGGAGTCGATGGAGTCCAGCTCAGGAAAATGAGTCATGTGAGGGAGAATCTGAGGATATTGAACATCCATACCGTGAGTTCACAGCTTTGACTGGTTTCATCTGAGTGGTCTTTCAAGGACCCTTCAAAGCGGTGAAGTTTTGCATTGAAGTGTTTTATCTGTAGAAGGTAAGAAGACGAGGGAAAGTGCATCTGTGGAGTAACACTGCCATCCTTAGGTTAAATTCTGTATGGATGATGTATGTTAGAGACAGCAGCAGCTGACCAAGTGTTGTTACTGATTTCACCACAGAGGGGCAGCGTTCGCCTGATGTCAAATATTAACAGAGGGTTTTTCTCAAACACTTGGCCAAAGTGGCACTCGGGATAAGTCAAATAAAAACTTAAAAAAATAACAAATTGCAAAGCTGTTATAGCAATGACAGTGACGCAACCAAGCTTTATGTCACTCTGTGTTTACAGGTACCTCTGGTCACTTTACCTGTTTACCTCTGTTACCTCGTTTTCTTGGTACATAGGAGTCAATATTTTTTTAAATTATTTTAATTTTATTTTTTATTTTTATTTTATGGTTATTTTGTACATAGGATGTGTATAGGAGGGGATATTTATCTTATTTCTATTTTTATTTTATCTCTTTCTATATATTATTTGATTTTCTTGTTATAATTCAGTTTTTTTGACACAATCACAGAAGTCACTTTCATTTCACTGCCGCTGTACCTGTACATTTAGGCATGTGACAAATAAAACTTGAAACTTGAAACTTGAATAATGAGGAAAACTTCATTTTAATACATCCTTACGGTGATGACACATGAAGTGAAATACCTCAAAACATTTTGTGTTGAAAGGTTGTTTACACATGGAAATTTGAAGTACAGTGCCTCAAAAGAAAAAGTTTTTGACTCACAAAAATGCACATCTTTTTAGAAATTCAGTTTATTTATACTCTCAACACCTTGTTTGTATTTCTTCACCACTGGATACTGTTTGAATAATTGATAAAAAAAATTGAACTTTTCCTTGTATTTAAAGTCAAAATTAATACTGAAAAGGTGTTTATCTTTCACTAAGCATCTATGTATTTACAAGATATTCGCAAAACTATCCCAAATACGGTACAACTCGGACCAAAAGAAGCAAAAAAAGTCATTCAAACTTTGACATAGTTTCTGACTGCCTGCAACAATAATCTCCTCTTTCTTTAAGAATGAATTGGGAATAAGGGTTGACCTTTCAAGGAAGCATCTTTATGGGATAAATTAACCTGGTATGAAGCCACCAGATCCAGATGTACAAATGTTGATCCTTTCATTTCCTCTTGCAATACTTCTTCCCTCCACGGGGTGGCAGTGTTGCACTGCTGAAGCTTTTCGCTTTTCTCTCAGGTCTGCTTCCTCTCCTTCGCTCACCCACATATTGACCAACAGGAGTGATACGAGTCAAGTATAAAATGATCAGCTGAAGTGTCTGATTTAGTAACAGAAACCACAACAGATCACTTTATCGCACATTTCACAGATAAAAACACACTTCCACTTTCTCCACGGCGTTTTAAAATGAGACCCATGTGCGATGCACTTCTCCATGGAGCTGATGTGTCCGACCGTGCAGCCACATTTGGGATGAGAGTCTCCTCCATCTTCTGGCCTGTCAGTCCATCTCCCTCCTGTTCTGATGCATTATTGGTCGGCTCTGTAGAGGCCCAGGAAGCAGAGGGAGATAAGGAAAAAGGCCAGGCTCTGTGATCCCTCAGATAGCACCTAATCACATTCATTACATCAATTAGGGCAGGCCGACACAGGAGCGGGCTGCGAGTCAGACCTCCATCTCCTGCTGATCGATGCTCTAAACACGGAGCACATCCTCTGGATTTCAACCTCCACCCTGTGGACCACAATTCTGTATTTACCTCCACCTGCTGAAGCGGTCCTATCCATTTCAGCAGGTGGTGAAAAGGTGTTTAGAACCAACATTGGTGCAATCTACATGTGTTTTCCTAACTGGTATCATGATTTCTTGGGTTGACGGTGGCCATTCCCAATTTATAAATCCATTCCAGGCTCCTTTTCTAATTTAAAATTGAAATATTACAGATTTCAAGGTGTTAAGAAACCATTATAAGACCTCAGGATGCTGGACAAAGTATATTTCATAAACCATGGTGACATTTGGAGCTAAAATTTTGCTCTAAATGAACCGATATTCATACTGTTCTATAGATTATTTCAAAATGAATCTTTTCCAGTGAGATGCGTGTTGGAAAATGCACGTTTTAACAGATTTTGCGCCAAAAGTGTTGCAATGAATGTCAGATTTCTAACATATTTAACCCAGATTTAGCTTCATTTAAAGTAGAAGGCCAATCCATTGACAGCTTTTAAGGAATAGATCAGAAGAACAATAAAGATGTAAAAGAAAAGGCCAAATCTGTAAAAGACTATAAACACATTAGGCGCACTGATCTTTGCAGCAGAAGACCTGTATCAGTGGTTTAAAGCAGAAGTAACGTGTGCAACTCAATCCATTTCATGATAACCAAAGTCAAATCTCTAAGAAGGCAGAATTTGTTTTAATATTTTTACACAATATGGCACTGTAGCCACACACAAAGGCTGTAAAGTGATAAATTCAAAGCCGTACTCTGAGCCGGTCGGTCATTAGGTGTCATTTCAGCTAAATCTTCGTCTCTTTCTCTCTGCTGATGGATAACACCAGCTTTGTGATACGAGGCGTCTAGACTCAGTTAGTGGTGACGAAAGCTTCAATATCAGGTAGACAGAAAAAAAAAGATCTAGTGGAAGTGGTTTGAAAATCACCATGGTATGATCCTCATAAAAAGAACCCACTTGAAACAAATCCTGAAAATAAGGCGATTTGGCAAAGCTTCACCAAACTCCATTGGCAAAAACAGTAATTTTAAATTATGAAGCACAGGAATACCACCACCTCAGTCAGCCTGCTTTTGTGTTTTTATCTGACCTTAATAATATTTTGGATGTCAGCTTAACATCCAAAACACCACTGACACCAAATACCACAAGAAAACAACAAATCAACGCAGCTGATTTAAAGCAAACCTTCAAAGTAAAATTGCTGTTTTTGTCACTGGAGTCTGGTGGCTTTGAGGTGAGCAACACCAACACTTTTTTTGGTTTACTTTACTGGGGTAATTCCCTTTTCTGAACACTGAACATTTGGACTCTGAAATGACTCAACTTATTTTAAAAATTTGCTGACTTTCACTTACATTTTTGATCATGCATGCTTTTTTAAAATTTGCAGACTTTCACTCACATTTTTGATCGTATTTAAAGCTCTGCCTGCATCAACATGTTAAATCATAGCACAGGGCCAGATGAACGATAAAATAACACTGAAAAGCAAAAGAAACAACTTTGGTCAAAATCATTCATCAAGTAAAACCCTAAAACCCTGAAATACGACATTGATCCCATTACAGCAAGTTTCACAGCTGCTTGCCGAAGAATTCTGCTGTTAAAAAGTTAAAAAATTTTACATCCTCATCGATGAAAGAGTATTTAGCTGCAGACACAGTTTGTACAAGTCATGAAACACTGTAATTGCTTTAAGGTTTAACCCCCAGCTGCTGTGTCTGCAGCCAAATGTGTGGAAACAGAGTCAAGGTTTTAAAACGTTCATAATCATAGTAAGGTTTGTTTTGTTTGAAAATGAAGGTAGTGGTACATTTCAGGGTTTGTATCAAGCAGCTAAACCCAGAGTCAGTGTTAGCTCGCTCTTTGAAGGTGAAAGCGTGAACACATTGACAGAAACGAGGCTCTGAATGGGAAATAAATGTGTTTGAGGAATCCCACTGACTCATTCAGACTCTCCATTCAGGCAGCGAGGGGGTCACACAGAGTCTCAGCTGATGACACACACATGTAAGAAGTCACAGGGTTATAAGGTGGCTGTCTGTGTGTGAACTGTGTTTCCTGCAGGTGTTGCGTGTGGACCGGGAGCATGTGACACTCTCAGGTATGGCCTCCATTTGCGGAATGCCGCTCCGAGCGTTCACAGAGTGAGACGGACAGGTACGCCTCAAAAAATGCTCCCCTCTTTTCAAAACTAAATGACTCGTGACCATCAGGCGCAGACGTACGCTGTGACATCAGTGACCTCCTGACTGAGCTGACTTCCTCGTGAAACCGTTTTCTGCCTCCTTTCCCCCGGCGACAGAAAACCCGGTGACATCTGGGATGAGCGACAGGCGAGGAAGAGGAGAAATGGCGCCGAAAACTGGAGGGAGATAAAATGGATAGATAAGGTCGGGGCATCTTTGAAAAAAAAAAAAAAAAATAGGAAAGTGGATAGATTGCGACAGAAGAAGAGAGAGAGAGAGGGGGAGGAAGAAGGGGGGAGGCGGGTGAGAAGAGTGATGCTATTGATACACTGAAGCTGCAGGAGGAGGAGGAGGAGGAGAGGAAGGTGCACTCCATTTTTCCCCCCTCGAAGTGCTATCAGAAGACATACATTAGGATGACAGCGCTGTGACCACGCCAAGCACATAAAAAACACACCGCCTTTATATCATCTCCCACAGATAGTTATTAATAAAAACCAGGACACACACTTGGAAACAGAGAGGAGAAATAGATGAGAAAGAGCGCCCGAGAAAGGAGGAGAGGAAGGAGGGAGATCATGTCGTGAGGAGGGGTTGTCCGCCTGACAACGTGAAGTCGAGAGCAATGGGTCTCACACCTCCATTTGTCAGTGTGATGAAATAAGCTACGGCCACAATCCCATACTCCACACTCTCCCCTGACATCTAAAGCATCTCCTTTTCCTCTCCTTTACCTCCTCTTCCCTTCCCGAGTATTCATGTATGCCCTTATTTCTCTTCTTCCTCCGCTCACAGAGTCTCTCTGCCTTTCTCTCCCTCTCTGAGTCTCACTGTTATCAGTATCTGACACACAGTGAATCAGGGAGTATCTAGCGGCCCGCTATCAGACCTCTCTTCATCTCCCACTGCCCCTCTGTGCTCAGGCCTATCAATCAGAGAGCTGCTGCCAGGACAGATGCCACCGACGCAACCGCAACCACCGACACAACTTGTATCTGCCACAACGACACAAAGGATCACGAATGAAACAATGAACGACGCACAGCTGAGACAGAAGTTATGCTTTTTTTATGAGGGGGATTGTGGTGGAATTTGAAGGTTTGACCAATTTTCAACGCTGAAGCCATTTACCAGACAAACCCCTTCATTATTGACATCTGTACAACAACTGTGGTCCCATCCTTATGTAGTATGAGTCTGCAAAAGTAAAATGAGAGTTTTGGAGGTGCAGCAGAAGATTGTTTTGTTGCTGCCGGGAACAAAACAATCAAATATCTTCAACCTAATGCTTGTTGTTCGAACTGACAGGCTCAGATTGCTGTTTCAAGTCTGAGACGTTGTCTAAAACAGCAAAGTATGAAAAAAAATATTAAGATTTCCAATATAAAGTCATTGTATTTGATTAAAGTCAGTATATGATGAGAATTGAAACGTAATTATACTAGATTTAATCATTTTATAGTGCAAAAAAGTCCAATATTAAGTCACAATATTACAAAAAAAGTCATTATGTTACAACTTTAAATAGCATATTTTTCGCACTATAGGGCGCACCATCGATGAACGCGTCTATTTTCATACATAAGGCGCACCGGATTATAAAGCACATTAAACCAAACAAAACAGTCAGATCAGTCAAACTTTATTTAACTCATTCAATAACGCTACGGTAGCTGCAGACATTCATTCATACATACCACACAATGAACCAACAAAGAAACAGGGGAAGACAAGGACTATATATACACTCAGGGAAACGAGCAACGAGAGGCAGGTGAGACACTCAGACACAGGTGCAGACAATCACAGAGGAGGGAAAACTGAGGAAGTAAAACAAGAAACACAGGGAATAAACTACTACAAAATAAAACAGGAAACACTGAAAACTGATACAAGGAATGAAACACTAAGAACATGAGGGAAACTGGGTCAGACACAAACTGTAAACTCACAAGACAAGACTACAGAAGAACAGGAACATTCAGGAAAATCACAAAGAAAATACACTCCGATCTCAGGGAAAACTAAATACCAGAACATATCATGACATGAAGTAGTTATGTTATAAAAAAAGTCATTCAGCTACGAGTTTTGAAGGTCCTGTGAGAAGTTTTTGAACAGCGATGTTCCTCGATGAAATGAAAAAAGAAAATGAGACCATTGAGTACAGGACTGAAGAAACAGCCTTTGTAACGTTCAGATATTCACGATGAGAAATCAACGTCACTGTAAAAAGAGACAAGGAGGAGACCGCTGTGTACACTTTGTCCACAGGGGGTGCCAAAGTCAACACAGACAACAAGCTCCTCACAGGAGCTCTAAGTCATTTTGTTAAGAGATTAAAATCTTTATATTATGAAAAATTGTAAAGTTGTATTGGGTTAGCCGTTAAACTACATGATTAAATTTGATCATTAGAGAGAATAATGTCATGATGTAAAGTTGTTATGAAACATAATGTTACAAGTATAAAGTCGTTATTTTAGGAGGTCAAAGTAATTTTAACATGAGAAACATTATGTGACGACATTGAAGTTGTAAATTTAGTCAAAGATTAGTCACATTATGTTGGTTTACTGAACATTTTAGCTTTTTTCTCAGTCTTTTCAGAGTCCTGATGACAATGTGGTGCTACAGCTATCATGATATAACTCCAAGACTTCTCTGTTATAACAATCTTTACTAAAATGATGATTTTTACACATCGACCTCGGTCCGTCTGATTTTCTATAGAAGCATAAATCATGCTAACTTCAATATCTACATTAGTTTTAGCCTTGAAAAAGCCCACGATGGACCCTTGACTCTTGAATTAAGCTAAATCTAAGCACAAACGTGAAGAAAGGAAAGGATAAAAGTATGTTTGAGATGCTCATTTATTATTGAAGAGGCCACTAGATCCAGATCGCATCAGGCCTGGGACAGTAGATAGTGTTTCATGGTGGCTTTGTCTTTAAATATTCTCCCAGATTGAAAGCTTCAAAGTAAACTTCAATTACTGCAGTGATTAGATCTGGCCTGCTCCATTAGAGGACATTCTAGCTTGGGGGGAAACAGACAGAGAGAGCGGGGTGAGGACTCTCAGACCCCCAGCCAAGGAATTACTAACTATTGATCTTGCTGCCACAAGCCATCTGACAATGACATTATAGTTGTGTAGCTTCAGAAGGAGCAGTACAGTCCAGCAAAGGGGCTGATGTAGTCTTGCAACACACTCAGACACGGGGATGAATCCTGTTTCACTTAGGGGGATGATTCAGAGCCAAGGTTTCTGCTGAAAGGGGCTAAAAGACTCAATCTGATTTCATCTTATTATATTCTTTTGGAATAAAACAATAGAAAATGTCTGGACAAGACACAAAATGATGTATGTTGCCTAACCGACAAGAATTCAATAATGTATTGTGGTGGCAGGACTTTTAAAAACGTCAACATAAATAGTTTAAAACAGTTGAGTATAATGAATAAGCTGCAGTAAAACTACAGTATATATAAAAGATGTTTAACCAGCCTTAAGTTAAAGATTAGTCATATACCTACAATGTAAAGGTAAATGATGCACCTTCAGGCTTCCACTGACTCACCTTGCAAGTTGCGCACCACCTGCTAGCAGATGGTTACGTTTCTTCAATTAGGCAATGCAGTGAAGTTAGACCTGGTCCATTGAAATGAAATGATGTGGTTTGAGAAGGTACGTTTGCAGGAGAAGCCAGAAATTTTTTCAGTTTGTGAAGAAAGGTTCAATATAAAGCAGTTTGACAAGAAAGAATCTGTTAATAGTGGTCTTTGCAGGAGAAGTTGAGAGTCTAAGAGCTTGGACCCGATTGGGCCAACATCTGTAGAGGTCATTCGTTAAGTTGAAGGAGCGGAATCAGGCATGTGAGTGCCTGAGTGAGACCAGTAGTAGGGAGGTGAAACATGGTGCTGACTCATCCTCTGAGATAAGGAGAGGTTCCTCCTCTGTGGTCTTTTGAGTTGTGGCACTGTGGCTGTTAAATGCTTTGTATAAAGATTAGCTTGTTTCTGTTTTGGACTGGGCTGTAGACACTGGGCCTCTTTGTGTCTCCAGGCTTTTGTGTTATATGTTTGAGCATCACTGACAGCCACAGTGTTTTGGTTGAAGAAGTTATTCTTGGTTCAGGTCAGCTATTGGCAGTAGAGGTTTTGTTTCCCACTTATCTGTCCCAACAACAAAGTCAACGTTGTTGTTAATCCAAACCAAAAGGTTGGTTTTTCTGTTGCTGAACCTCTCCTCCTCCAGAAACAGTCAGACTTTGTGACCTTGTGGATCCCACCACGAGCAGAGCGAGTCAAAAGATAAGAAAATGAACGACTTTGATAATGACGATAATGATCTTGATGGTTTTCTTCATCACAATGCCAAAACTGTTAATAAAGACACTGATGATGATGGATATGATGATGATGATGGTAATGATAATGATGGTCCTGTTGATGCTGCTGATGATTGTGGAAATGAGCGTGTTGATAAGGTCCAAACATTTTCTTTGGGCACGCATGGCTGCAGATAACAGAGTACAGTAAGTCTGCAGTGATGGGCCCACCGACCATCTTTATCTACTACATCTCAATGTCAGACATCTACTTCCCTTTCCTCTCTGCAGGCTCTGAAAACCATTACAACAACCTGATCAGCACTGTGCACACATCCATAATCATAGAACAAACATATGAGCAATGGTGATTGGAAATGGGGAGCTGGCTGGGTGTTGTGCTGCGTTCCAGTTACCGCGGAAGTCGAATGCCGGAGCTGGAATTGACGTTACATCTGAGTTGACGGTGTTCCACTATACAAGTCGGAAAACTAAGACGGACGCCTACAGTTAGCTGTTGTTAGCTGTTGTTTACAATCATCAGTCGTCGTTAGTCATTGTCAGTTGTTGTTAGCGACTGTCAGCTGTCAGTCGCAACAAGTTGTTGTTAGCTGTCATTGGCCGTTGTTAGTTGTTAACAGTTGTCAGTAGTTTTTGTTAGCGATACCAGTTGTAAACAACGCATAACACAGTATTTTACTCTACAAACACCATAGCACCGTGTTCACAGTTAGATGTTGGTTAGTACAACATGTACCACTTAATTTAATTTCACAAAAACAAAACATAAGTGCTAATAAGTAACACATTATGAGAGCTTTCACCGTTACTCTTCACTGTTGATGCACTGTGCTGCCATCTTGGTTTATGACGCTGTTGTCAAGCCGGGGTTGATGAGGATGGTCCGACTTTCCCAGTCAGAGATTCGACTTCGGGGGGACGTTCTAGATCAGGGGTGGGCAATCATGCCATGGAGGGCCGAGAGGCTTTTTCCGAACTGATTTCACTGATTACCTTACCTCCAACTAGAGAGCAGGGACTAATCAGTAAAATCACCTGGTGGAGTTTTGGGTTGGAAAGAAAACCTGCAGCCTCTCGGCCCTCCATGGCACATGATTACCCACCCCTGTTCTAGATGAATTCCTGACTTGGAGCTTGGAGCCCCCTCAGAAACGTAGTCTTTCACCAAGACTTTCCTCCAAGCCAGTCAACCTTTTTGGTTCAGTGGTTCTGGTGCTTCTGACAATTGCACTTGTTAGGACTTTATTTTCATTTCTGTTCTGGATCTAAATCATCCTAGCACAGCATCGAGTATGGACCAAACCAGAACCACAGCCCCAGCCAGTGGCGGGAAGTAGTAGCTTGCAAACTCATTGATACCTACACCTGAATGGTGTGTTTGTTTTGAGGGAGGTTGTTCTTCTTGTTTATATATTTTGCCATCCTTCTGCAGCACCTGGTCTTGTTTTTACCTCCAACATGTTGCACCACTTTTACGGTATTTATCAATTATTAAATAACTGTCTCAGATGATCAAATCTCTCCAGTAATTTTATTTTTAGTAGCTGCCATAAAATCACCACCGTCTATAAAAATAATGCAGTCCTCTTGTAGCCCAATTCCCCGAACAACAGGCTTAATAAAGGAAATAAATACAGGATAGCAGATATGAAATAAAACCTGGCGCCACAGAGGGGTGAGAGAAAGGAGTCTTTTGGGGAAAGTGAAGAAGAACACTCGAGCAGGAGAGGAGAAGATGGAGACAGAGAGGCAGAGAGGAGGAAAGAAAGAGCGAAAAAGGCAGGGGGAAGATAGATCACGGTCCTGAGCGATTGTGACAAGCATAGACCCTATCAGCCGCTGTTTGTTTGCACACTCCCCTCTCTGCATTAAAGGAGCCGTCCAGGCCGCCGGCAGGCCGCGAGCGCTCCATCTCATCACCTGACACGCCAACAGATGTTATGGGCTGATAAGAGCCCTGCGGCCCCCTTCCCTTTGCATCTACGATTACCTCCGCACAAAGGAGAAGGGGTGGCGGAGGGGGAGGAGGAAGAGGAGGGAGGTGGAAGGAACGGAGAGAGGGAAGGAGGGAGGAGAGGAAATCAAATACTTCATTTTGACCTGGTGTAACGAAAAAAAAAAAGAAGAAGGAGAAATGAAATAGATGGAAGTGTGTGTGAGATTGAAAAAGGGTATGAGAGGAGGAAAGATGGCGGGGACACTCTCATTTGTCCTGTATGAAGTGGTAAATGGCCTCAGTGGGCTTCCTGGCCCCTTGCTGTTTGTCTCCGTCCTAATCGGCTTATTCCATAAGCACTGCAGCACCATCGTCATTAAGCAATGATAATGATATTATTTAACAGGGGATGAGAGAATTAAGGAGGCGCGCTATCTGATGGCTAGTTTTACTCGCCGCCTCATTTCCTCATCCTCGGAAAATGTAGCATTTCCCCGTTGATAAGAATTATTCTGCAGAGCTTTAATAGCAGCCACATCCATTGCCTTTATTGCCTAAAAACATCATTACTCCAACTTTTATTGTGCATTACATGGCTGGTTTGTTCTCCAAATAGCACTAACTAAATTGGGATGTCAAAAAAAAAAAAGCAGTGCTATGTGGAACATTGGTCTTGTTATGGCAAATGTAACCCAATCACTGCAGTAAATGCACACATATCTGCCTCCCTGCTTCCTCCTGATCACTAATTTATGATATAATTTAACAACCTTTCTATATTTGTTCCGCTAAACACTTTGCGTGGCATCAAATTACCACTCACAAAAAGATCATAGAAACCCAATATCATGCATCCTTTTCTCAGCCAATCTGAATGGAGAGATTGTGTTTCTTTTCTCTCTTCCCCCCCTCTCTACTCGCTTTAGCTCCAAGTCCAGAGAAGGGAGGGAGGGGGGGTGACATTACTAAACACAAATCAGCCAATAGAATAAACAAACTCTGGGGGATAAACAACAATGCAATCTCCATCTGCGGCGTAAACAATGCCGAGCGTGCGTGCATGTGTGTGGCTTCTCTTGATGAGATTGAATATGTTTAGATGATAAGGCGAGCAAGGTAATCAATGCAGTAATGACGAGGACGGGGTGAGGGAGGGGGTGAGACCAGGTCCTATCACAGGCAGTCATCAATGGAATTTCTAAAGCTCGCCCCGCGCGCGTTTGTGTGTGCGTGCGTTTCTGTGTGTTTGTGCGTGGAGCAAAAGCGTGACAAACGCGTCATTTCGTGTGCGAGGGAGATAAGCTCTAAATAATTGCAGTCTGACAGGCCTGAATAATGGCCAAATTAGACAGAAGGTGCACATTATTACGAGCGGCAAACATTCAAGGCTGGTTTGAGATGTAACCCGGCTTGATTAAGTCTCCTGATGATGATGATGGTGGTGTTAGCAGACCCTCTTAACTCCCTAAACCTTAATCCTGTTTCTCCTTCCTGGACTTTTTTTTTTTTCTTCTCGTTTTCAGAGCATTAGCATCCAGAGTTACCTGTGGACGACCTCCTGTTGAGCAGCAGCCCACACACGGAGAAGAAAGTGGGATGAGCAAAGAGAAAGAGGATGAGGGGGGTAAAACAGCCACGGCCGTTGATAATCAGCGGATAAAAAAAAAGGGGGGGACGCCGCAAGGTCAGGGAAAGGACGGGGTAAGAGTCGGATGGAACTGAGTTTGTGTGAAAACAGAGAGAGAACAGAGAGAAGACAGAAGGACGCTGAGCTTTGATGTGGATCAGCTCTGGATTTGGTGTTTTGTCTGTGTTCGCTTTTACGCCACGCTCAGGTAGAAAGATGAGAAAAAAGCCTTCAGCGCGGTCGGTGCCTACCTGAGGCCCAACCAAAACAAGGAGCCTGTATCCGCTGTAGGGATCAGAGCCACGGTTACAGCATGACCTAATGGCAGAGAGACAGGCTGAGAAATGACAGAATCAAGCATGTAGTGGAGAAAAAAACAGACCCAGAATCAATTTCTCCACCTGACATGAACCTTTATGGCATAAATCTGAGCATATACCAGACTAAATGACATCAAACTGCCGTAATATAGCAAAGGAAATCCACAGTTCATGCTTTCTCCAAAAAATAGCACGGCTTTTTGTGCGGTTCGATGGTTAAACATCATTCCTGTAGTATATTTCACTGCTCCTCTCATTCACTGTTACAGATATCGTGAAAGAGGGCAGTCAACTTTGACATTAATGCCAAACGACAACAAATTTGAGGTTGTGGATACTTGATATTGAGAAACACATGAGCATGTAATGCGGCAGCAAGCTAGCTCTGCGAGTGGTTGGTGCTCACAGCGAGAAGTTTCTGGTTTCTTTGAGGTCACCCGAGGTTCTCGATGTTCCTTATTGAGTTTGGAGGAAGTACAGTTTGGAAAAGTAGAAGAGTTTTCAGAGATACAGGAAAGGAAATGTGTGGAATAACAACAGAAATGACAAAACAGATTAAAAGAGATTAAAAGAGAGATTGATAGTTTGCAAATTATTAAAACCTGATATTTAACTGAAAACCAGAACATATGAAATTCTGAAATTTAGTTTCTGTCTTTGCACTATTTTTCAATTAAACAGGCTAAAGGACAAAACTCAGTCTGACGCTGATTTATTTCTGAGTCCCTGCTTGTCTCAGAGGTAAATGCATGAACATTGCAGAACTCCTTCGTATCTCAGCTGTAATTTCAGTGAGTGCAGATCTCGCTGCGATTCAGTTCACGGTGTCTGCACTCCATAAAGTTGTACCCGACAGATCTCACTGAGTTTAGATGGAAGAGTTTTGTCTGACTCAGGACTTTCTCTCTCTGTGAGATGGAGTTTTTTTTTTTTCCAAGCTGGATATTTTTAGTTTTGAAGCAGAAATCCCCAAATCTTTTTCAAACACCCCTCTCATATCACCAGGAGTGATCAGATCCAGATCACATCCATAATCTCCAAGTTGATCACAGCCCAAGCAGACGGTTATCTACAAGCGTTCATGATTGGGAGATTAGTGTTTTTAAATGCTTATCCGTGTAGACCTCCCCGAGGTAGACTCTCTCCAGAGCCTGAGTGGAATCACACCATCCAATCTGAGACTCACACACAGATCTGTGTGACATGTTGGCTTTTTTGGGGTAGAAGGGAGATGATGGAGCGGGTTGGCTGGAGTGGATCATGTACATAATCACTTGTTTATCACCAGAGCATCTTGCCAAATCGCTAAAGCACTGCTCTAATCACAGTAACCAGAGCAGCTGCTGATTTCCTCCTCTGTGCATCTTAAACCTGGATGGGGTCAACATAGGGCTGCATGGAGGTTGTTCAAGGATGGAGAACAAAAGCTTATTGCATTTGAAATTCATCCATCTTTGCATGTCTTCAAGAAGATTCAACTTCAACATGAAGATCGGTTCAATCAAGCTGGTTCTTGTATCGCTTGTTAGCTAGCATAATCAGCGTTTGAACTGTAGACATGGATGTCTACGTCATGCATATGGGTGGGAGATGAGCCAGTGCTATTTTCGTGGCTGGGAGAGATGCATAAGCTTACATCCACAAGAGACTGTGCAGCGTCCACATCACTACATACCATCTTTTTGAAGAATGCAGATATTTTCAATTAGGGTCGCTGACATTCAGGGACAGTTTGGTTCTCCACGACCAATTTTTTTTTATGTTTTGTTGGCGGCAAACATGATGAAAAGGAGCCAGAACCTTGAGTTGTCAAAACCATCCTGCGCAAAACTGGCAATGTATGAGCGGCAAGCACTCACGACCAGAATACTAGAATCAGTGGTGCTGACATGTCATGCCTCTGAACAACGCGGCGCGGCATGTCAACACGCGTGGATGTTATGAGATAGAGAGAGGAGTGAGCTGAGAGCCCCGCTCATCGCAGCGGAGAGGAGAGATACTTTTCTCTTGAAAGTAATGAAAAGATGGCGAGTCTGAAATTGCACAAATTATATTTTGTAGGCCGTTTTGATAAAAATTAAAAAAATTAAGTGAATACATTAATCTCCAACTTCAATTTCTGGGTTGGAATCTTGTCAGGGCGGGGCGCCCATTATCAGGGAAACACTGATGATACTTAAAGACAAGATTGTTTGACGACAGAAGAAGAGGGAGAGAGGTAAAGGAGATTAAGCCATCATATTAAACATATGAAAGGTGAAGAGCGGTGAAGTTCTCCTTGTTTCTATTCAGCCTCCTGCTAACTTGTTTGTCGATTGTTTTGGTATGTGACCAAAAAAAAACCTGCTTAAGGGAAAATATTGCCACCTAGTGTAGAAGAAACAGACATACTTTTGTTAATAAATCAAGGATGACCATATTCTGAATCCCCAAAAAGAGGACATGACTACGTTGAGGCTGAGTTACGGAGTCGCTCGTAGTTAATTTTGAGAGTTTTTTCGGGTTGGATCGAGTGTTTTTTACGTGCTTCTAACTCAATAAGTCTATGCCACACAAACTCAAAACTTCCCTACATGACCCTGGACATTTGAAGTATTTTATAAACCCCCCCGGACAATGCCAGACAGCCCCCAAAAAAGAGGACATGTCCGGGTAAAAGAGGACGTACGGTCACCCTAATAAATCTTACCTGGAGCTTGTAAACTGGGACCAGGAAATTGAAAGAAATTTGCAAAATTGTCACTAGAATCAATTCATGCATTCTATTCATGCTCACACCCTTCACCCCAGCTGCCCCTGTGGGCCAAAAAGTATAGTACGAATGATCCGAGTCGTTTCGGCTCAGAGTTAGAGTGTGTGTTCCTGTGTTTAGGATCAGGATGAGATCAAATCCTCAATGCACAAAAAGCATCCTGCTACGTATCTTCTGTCCTCATCTACCTTGGCCTGGTAGGAGATGTTCCAGTGCCAGTAGGACGGAGGGGAAACTTCAAACACTAAATAAGCCTTATCTGCTCCCAGTGCTAGGCTGAGATTAGGAGAGGAGTAAAGGAAGCCAGCAGGGAAGGAAAAAAGGGGGGAAGAAGGAAAGGGAGCGGTTCAGAAAAGAGAGAAAGTTGGTGGAAGGAAAAGAAGGAGAAGCCAATGTGGAGAGAAAATGAGGTGGAGAGAAAGGTAAGATCGGATGGTAAGAAGAAAAAGGAGAAAGTATCAGCCGGAGGAAATTATAGGAAAGAAGGATACAAGGAAAAGGGTAAAAGAAAGGAGACAAATGGAGGAGTTTTAGCGAGAAGGAACTGGGTTTTTCCACTGATTACAAACTAGCCCATGCTTCATAACTGCCTACTAAATGGCATCCCATTTCTTGAAAACAAGAGTATATCTTTTCAGAAAAAGCACTTTTTTGTTTTTGATTCCATTACCCAGCCGAGGTGTGGGGCGAGAGGGTGGCAAATGGAGGAATTTGGGAGTGCTTGGAGAGCGGGCGCATGGGGAGAAAAGCCAGTTTGGGAAGCAGCGGTGGAACCACAATCTCTGGAGTCCATTCTGTCCCTGCCGCCCTGTGATCCCCACACCAATTAAAGCCAAGGAGAGAGAGGCCACGGGGAAGTCCAACAAATCACGCCTACGTGGAGATGCACTCGGGTTTTCGAACAAGTGAATTACATTGTGTGCATCAAAAGGTACGGGGGAACAAGACAGTGAGGGCGTATAGAGGCAGAGAAGCTTAGACAACAGATCAGAAAGCATTTACAACAAAAACGAAGACTTTGATTTACGCTTCACTTTGAACAGATTGAGGAAATGTTGTTAAAACAAAGTGAAGCGTATACTTAAAAACTCCAGATCCCCATGCACCACTATCCAGATTTGGTTCTTATGCATTAAATAGAAAACTTAGGGTGTTATAGACGACCTTTCTACGATACTTTATCACGTGTTTTTGGGGTTATTTTGGCAACGCCATCGATGAACTGATTCTTGGAAACTATCCTCTTATCTTGTTCTGCTTTTCTTCTCATGAGGAAAGTCAAATTATTACCGCATAAGGAGACAACTGATACAAAACAAATGAACAAAAGTCAACAGTTTGCAGACGTTTCACACTCCTCCAAAAGATCACAGGAGAGTAAATAAGACTAGCACCCACTGGATTCTCACTTTGTCACAGACCAGCTAGCACACATTACATCACTATCAAAACAAGTTCGTGTCTCTCTTAATTGTCCTGTTTGATGTGTCTCATAGAAGTTTTTATATTTCGATTCCAGCTGTTTTCTTACTCCTACTCTGTCCTCGAAGAGAGAGGGAAAAATAACACCCTCATCGGACCAATCGCAGAGAGCGATAGCGAGATCCCTCATCGTAGGATGATCCTAAATCCACATCACATCTCTTCTCACACCCCCAGTTTTCACTTTAAGTTGAACATCACCACTCACTCTCCACCGCCGCTTTAAAGCGGTGCCAGTGGCCACCCACTCCAACTCTTATCCCCTCTTCTTTCCCTCTCCTCCAATGTCCATCAGTCATTGTTTCCTTCCCCATCCTCCTCCTCTCCTCTCCTCTCTTTTCTCCTAACCCTCCTCCTTTCCCAAACCCTCGGCTTTGATCTTGATTTCTTACCAGGAAATATCTACCAAGAGGCCATCCAGCGACAATAACATCCAATAAAGGAACACAAGGGTGGCCGAGACCAGGCCGCTGATAGGGACAGGATTTATGGGCCCCGCTTGTTGTTTGCTTCAACTGCTGGCATTTACACTGTGACTCACACACAGACAGGGAGTTTATACATTACCAAACATAACACCTTACATTCAAGTGTGCTGTGTGGTGATTTTGGATCGTTTACAGCGGCTGACAAGGGCAGCAGATCTGCATTGAGAATAACTCGGTGCAGATTTAAAAGCACATGCAGAACATGCGGAAAAATGCACTGCCAGTGAAAAGTACACAAGTTATAATACCTATGCAATGATAACCAGCATTATTTGTAAATACATGTCAAAAAAATCTGCAATGCCATTCAACAGTCAAGTCAAGCTTCTGTTATGGTTCGGTCAGTCTTGTAACTGGACTACTTGTCCCGGCTTACAAACCTCGAGCATGAATCGAATTATTGGCAGAAGCACGCTCTCCTCCAGTCTAGGCTTGTCCTCTGCTACACTTTCAGCTTGTTACTCCTGTGTCGTCTCCTGGTTGACCTTTTATGTCCTAAAAATTTGGACTCACACATTAGCATGTTGCTAACAGGATGTAGAACAATGAAAATGCCATCACTTTTACGGCTCGATACAACTGTTTTTGTCTTGTTTACATCCTTTCTTTGTCCATGAGGTTTCGTTTAATACTCGGTTTCAAAGCAACGCATTTACGCTATTTAATTTTGGGGCCAAAGCCTGGAGAGCGAACTCTGGATTTTACATTTTGATTGATTTGATTTGATAATTTTATTTAAGTGTCATACACCAAAATTGGTGCCCAGCCCCATGGGCTTATTAGACACTGTTCAACAAACTCTAAGCACAATGTATCCAAGACAGCCACGCAACATAATATACAACAACAATAACCTCAAAAATCCATTAAGAATTGTAACACAAACAATGAGGATAATGAAAGAGAAACAAAAAAAGTTCATCCTACAGGGTACAAAATACTTTGCCGCATATGCCAAGCCTTTTCAACAAATTTTGCCAAAACAAAAACATCCTTTTCAAACAACCAACCCAAAATCTCACCTTCACTCTTCCAAAATAAATCAGGATTTTTAAACTGAATTGATTCAAAAATGACAGTCCTTAAGTCAACATATAAGGGACAATTGAAAACAAAATGAAATTCATCCTCAACCACCTATAAATCACAGAATTCACACAAACGTGCTTCTTCTTCTTCTTCTGGATTTTACAAGTTTCATCCCATGTAAACGTTCTGTAACTTAATTTTTTTTGCCAAATACAGCAGTCTGTATTGTGCCGACCACTGTGTTGACTTTGCTGAGGACCTCAGGCCTATTAAACCTTTGCTGTCCACTAATCTTGGCAATATATGGTGTTGAATGTGCAGGGCCTTCCCAACAAAGGAAATAAGAGGAGCTTGTTTTTACAAAAGGGGATTAGCGGGTCAGATATGAAAATATTGAGACTCAGGACAGAATATCATCCATCACAAACTTCAATCGGAAATGTCCCCGTTGGTTTCAGGCTTCTTGTTTAACAGGAAAACTTTCCATCTGACATCTTTTTCGGGCTTTGTTCCTTGATGTTTTAAGAATAAAAGCTCTCGCTTTGGCCGGGAGCGAACCACATCAAATCAAACACAAGCTGGGCTGTAGTTGTTGTTGTTGTTGACACTTGTCTCAATCCCCTTTGTTCCAATGTCCATATCACCAGCCCACCGCACACTGACGCCTGTCCAAACAGGACTACACATGGCTGTCGTCCCGCACTCCTTAACATGGTGTGGGCCTGTTCACGGATCCTTTAGCCTGCTTTGGAAATCCACTGTGACCAACGCCGCCGACCGGACATGGGAAGACAGCGTCCCCTCATGTCTCGACCCCCGGGGGCTGAAAGCGACTGTGACGCCTCAACCCACAAACCACCGGGGTATCAGCCCCTCTGCGCCCACACTCCCTCAGCCGAAAGAGAGCTGCACTTTTACGGGACACACCTCCGGGATTCGTTCCTCGTCCCGCTTGGGGTTCTGCCGCAGTTATCTGCTCAGGGCCAGGGAGCGGGGACGAGCGTGGGACGGAGGGGTTGGACCGGAGTGGGGGGAGCAGCACCGATCCATTTCAAGCGATGAAGGATCATCATTGTCTCCCGTCTCACCCTGTCACTTATTATTACCAAACCTCAGGCTGACAACCTGTGTATTCCTCTGTGTGTGATTCCGCTAAAACACTACTGGATGTGTGGTCTTGGCATCCGACTCGCACACGCGCACTTTACAAGCGAGTACACACTCTCTCTTTCTCACAAACACACACTCGGCATACACAGACATACTGACATCACTACAGGCGCTTCTCAGCAAACCTACACATCGGATTGTAAGCGGTACAGCTCTTCTAGCAGACTGTGTGTGGGAGGGACAGAGCCACAGGCGCTAAGTGTCTCTATAGCCCATGTGAAATCACATGTAGGCTGCGATGAGCCTCCAACCATACCAGGCACAATCACATGGAGATACAGAGGGAGAAGGAGCTTTAGAAGACCACCAAGGATAGCAGCACGGCGCAGGATGCTGGGGCTGTCTTCATGTTAAGGCCTTTTTCTTCACTCTTCCAAAGTATTCACCACTTAAAACAGATTAAGAGCTCGGGGAATAAACAGGCTTCGATGCTACGGAGTGGGGAAACACAGGAGGAGGGTTTGAGGAATTAGAGAGCAGGACGAAAGGGAAAAGTGTCTTTCAGGAGATAATGCGCAGAGAAGCAATCAGGATTGTTGTGATATTAAGGGGTTTGTGATGGAGCAGATGAATGAGGCGTAGGGTATAAACATGCGAGTTCCTTCATGATGGAAACGGAGTGACTCTAAGGTTTTCAGAAGCTCGGTTCTGGATTCAAATGAACAGATGACATTCTCAGATTGTCTGCGTTTTGTTCATTTTATAAAAGAATTACTTAACAGAGTGTTTGAACCGAAGACCACCATTCAAAGTTGAGTCCTGAGGCTATACAAACAGCCTGTGTGTGTTCGTTTTGGCTTGATTCAAAAGATGGAGGAGGTGGATGGTTCGAGCTGGCATGTTACATCCTCTTCCTCCACATTTCCCTCTCTAATGTGTTACAACAAAAGCCAAAGAGTGGGAGAAATGCATCAGATTAGACTTCTGAGTATCTGATTAGTTTCAATGGAACAGTGATATAATGGTTTGTTATTTTCGGCCTGCTTTTAGTCCAGATAGAAACCATTAACTTCTTCACCTTTTTACCAATAAAGGCGTTTACATCATTCAAGCATTCACAAGAATGAAATTCATCAACCTCAATGAGCTGATTATACTGGACAAAAAGCAGGAGATTCTGGGCTAAAAGAAGATCAGACTGACTGTGTCTCTACTGAATCCATGAGTTTTGTCATTGGGATACCTCAGAGTTCACTATCATAGTGTTTTAAAGAACCTCTTTTAGCTCTAGACAGCATTGTTTTGGGTCTATATTGTCATAATCTTAAGTATCTGTTTTCAATAGACCCTTCAGCTGTATTTTAAAATGCCTATTCAGTTTGGATTTAAATCATCCTTTTTTGACCATTTTTAAGGTGCTTGTAGAATTACCTCTGATAAAACTACCCAAAAAGGGATCTTTGTGTCCTTCTTAACCATGATCGAGCACCAGAGGTTAAAAAACAACAGCCAGGTCAGCAGTCTGGTCTTATTGGGGTGGCAATTTCATTGATCACAATAAAGTGCAAGTCAATAAAGAACAACTAAACAAAAGGTCTTACCAAGAGAGAAAACTCCAGCTTCACAGCAGACTGTTACCAGCTCCACACACCTGGCAAAACGGCTGGAGCTCTACACTGACCACTCAGGCACAGGTGAACTCACTTGACATAATTAGGCTGCTGTGGGGAGAGTGGGCGTGGTGAAAAAGTCATGAGGAAGCCTGTTCAATCAATCAGTCAATCAAACTTTATTTTTCAG